TGTTCCACTTTCAATTACTTACATATTTTAACCAAATTCAGTGCTGATCATAATTATCAAATGTTCATTCATTTTTATTTTTGTCGCTAGGGATTTGAAAGTCACTATTTTGATTACACATACACTTATTAAGAACATGTTTCCAAAAAAACTCACATCTTTACCAAATGTCGTGCCATATTCTTAACACAATCAGAATGCTCACAAAATTAAACAGTGGCATGGATAATACATTTCCTTAGGGAGGCATAAGGGTTAATGTGCTTATTTAATTAAATACTGCATCACAGTAGGATGTTAACAGAATTTACTGTAATTGACCCAAGGATGGCAGATTGCTTAAAGTTGCATTGTAGTCTTACGATAAGAGATACAGTAATTAAATGAGATTTTTTACTTTTGTAATGTTTGTATTTAGGAAAATATGTCAGTGAAAGAGGGAGAGATGGACAGCACAGTATCAAGAAACAGTCTTACAGCGCACCTACGGGTGAGGAAGACGAGGACACAAGTCAGGATGACAGGGAAATAAGTAACGCACAGCCACAGTCTGAGATAGACACAGAAGAGTCAGACCAACAAAGTACAGAGACAGCCACCAAAATGATAACAACAATGAACAGAAAGTGCAAAGCAGGGCCAAAAAAGTTCAAAATTGCCATGACAAGAAAACAATGGAACAAAATTAAACCTAAACATGGCAAAAAAAAACTCCGTCCCCCCTGGACTGATACATTATATCAAGAATTTTTGAAAAATAATCCATGCTGCACACTTGCTTTCAAATACCAGCATGTTAAGACAAATGATAGCCGTAAAAAGAATTCGCCATTTTTCTGTGCCTCTGCAAAATGCACATTTAATGGATGCACATTTAACGCTGTCTACAGTTTCTCAAAAAAGAACAGGCCAAAATCAACGGATAAAACAATTATTTTTAAAGTCATGCGCATTGGTGAAGTTATACACCATAAAAATCAAAGGAGATTTAGACCAGCAAAATACACAAGAAGAGGAACAATTTCCAAAGCCTTAACCAGTGGTGTCAGCAATTATTATTACACTATGTTAAGACAGACACCAGAGGAAATAATGGCTGGTAACATAAGCAGAAGCCTCACCAAAGACGTGTTAAAGAAAATATCCTCTGAAGTGAAGAAAAGTGCAAGGCTCCACGATGACATGATGCTTGAACTCATGTTGACTCAAAAAATAATCAAAGAGAGCAGCAGTCATGCATCATCAAAAGGCTATCTTCAGCACCTACAAATTGATCCGTTTGCTGTACATTTATACACAGATGCTGGAATAAAGATATTGACTGAGCACTTGAAAAAGCCAACACCTACGACTCTCTACCTTGATGCCACAGGCAGCGTGATACAGAAAATTCCTGATCAAAATAAGCGGGTCTTGTATTATGCTTTGGTTTTGCCCGGAATGGGTAAGGATAAGCCTCCCTTGCCTGTCACAGAACTGATCACCAACAGCCATTCCATTCCATCTATTTCCCATTGGCTCATGGAATTTAAAAGAAAGTTGTCTTACATAACAAAAAGAAAGATAGCACAGGTTGAGACAGATTATAGTTGGGCTCTGATAAACAGTGTGCTTCTGTCTTTTAACAGGGACAATATGTCAGTGTACCTTGACAGAGCATTTGAGATAGTGTCTGGACAAACTGAACTGATTCCTAACTTCACTGTGCTGCATCTGTGCTCTGCTCATATCATGAAGGCTGTGTCACAAGCATTTGGAAAAAAAACTGTAGACAGAGGCACACAGGAATATGCAACATTCTGTTTTGCGTACATCCTGAACTGCACAAGTATGCAGGAAGCCCTTGATGTTTTTTATCATATGTGTGTGCTTTTTGATGCAGAGGAGTACACTCATTCGGTGAAACAGCTAAATGTACCTCGACAAGTGCATTTTGCAAACTCGGGACTTGAAACTGGAGGAAAGTGGACATGTAATGGGAGAGGAGGAAAGCAAAATGGAAACAAATGCTCATAGCATTATTGGAAAGTCCCATTTTACACAAGCTTTTCAAGTCAGGCGGGACCAAGCAGAGTGTGACATTCTCTCTGACGATGCTGTTCATGTAAAAAACCACTACCTCTGTCCTGGTGTCATTGATGCACTGTTCAAAAACTACATGGGGATCTTCTCATTGTGGAGTGGTTTGTTGCTTGGGGATCTGTCGCGACATAGAAAAGGTACCTCTAAAAAAGATGGAAGTCATAAAACCAGGGATACCAACTGCCATGTTGAGCTCTGGTTTGGGTTGGTCAAACACTCCATCCTTTTAAAAAAAAAAGTACCTGAAACCAGCTGAGTTCGTCTCCAAAATGTATGCCTCAATACAAGGAAGATATATAGAGCACATTGAGCAATACAATCTGCCAATGCATATTCTGGACAAAAACTTTGGACATCCTAGCAGGCCAGATGATGACCACGAGGAACAGTGGAACAAGCGGGAAAGTTCTGCTGGTCACACCAAGTCCAAGTCCAAGTACTTCAATCCACCAAAACACTACCCAACCCCAAGAGCCCACCTGCCACAAAGGTGAAGAAAAGAAAAGTGGACCAACAGGAAAAAGACGCACAGGGAAATGTGAGTTTCTCTGACCCCCTAATCCCACCAGGAGCGTCTGCGCTGCGTTGCGCTGCGGCTGCGGCGTTTTTAGCGATCGCGGCCACTCTAGTCAATGGGTGCTATTCCACCAGACCCGCTGCGCCGCGCTGTGCCGCGCCGCGGCTCGAAGCGTCCCAGAAGCTCCTCGCCGCAAGGAATTTCTAAAATATAGGATGAATCCTATTTTTGACGCGGCGCAGCGACAACTGCGAGGCTGCACACACGACGCTCTGCTTCCGCAACGTTTTGAAACGCGCCTGGTGGGTTATGACGCAGGAGGAGGTCGCAGCTAACTAGCAAAAACGATCTTTAAAACTTAATATGTTCTGCACAAACTACATATCAGCTGAAAGCTGATACTCCACAGATTATTTTTATATAAGTATCATCACTGTAGGACACAAACTCACTGAGCGAGCAGCCAGAACAGAGCAAGAAAACAACAACAGTGTTCTAAAGCATAACAATAATTATGTCTTACCGTTGCTGTTTTGTGATCAAAAGTCGTGTTCAAGGGAATAAAAACGCTGCTCAAGGTTAATCCAATGTCTCTTAGTCACTTTAGAATTGTTCCTGATAATCCATCATTACATTCATGGCCGCAGAGTAGGTATAACGTTTTGCAGTCCGGGGTTTAGGCTTTCTCACGTGCTGTTTACGCAAGCCTCTCTCTCCTTGACGTAAGTGTAAAGCGGGATTTACTAACTCCCCCTCGATTCTATTGGCTCCAAAGTTTCAAAAAAGGTGTCAATCACCCAAATCGACCAATGGGTTCCAGAGATAGGATCCTGCGTAGTATGAATAATGCCAGCAGCGGCTGCTTTACGCACAGACGGAGCAGAAGCAGCCGCACAACCGCTCCAGCACAGCAGCAACGAACACAGCGAAGCGACAACACAGCGAACAGAGAACACAGAGAACACAGCGAACAGAGACAACAGCAGGCAACCCTGATTATGAACTTCAGGAAAGGTATGTACTCTCTCTGTTTGTATCTATTAGTTGTGTATTTTGTGTAATCTATAGTTATTCCACACTCGCAAAATACAAAATGGACGCCGCTTTGTTGTTGTAGCGTTATCGTTCCGTGAGAAACTAAAACAATGGCAACATCATGTTGGTGAACTTATAAATAGATTAATTGTATTTCGTGACTATAACACGGCAGTATATAAATAAAGCTGTATTGTATATCAACCCAGTATATATATATATATATACACTGTTATTCCACACACGCCAAATGGATGCTGTTTTGTAGTTCTACAGATATTGACTAATAGCAGTTTATAAATAAAGCTGTATTGTATATCAGTCTATATATATATATATATATATATATATATATATGTGTAGGCTATACGGTTATTTCACACACGCTATAGTATATATATATATATATGAAATAACAGTATACACACATATATATATATATATGTATACTGTTATTTCACACACGCTAAATGGAGGAATTATTTCTGATTTGAGTTACATTTTTTTTAAAATAAGCCAGTGAAGTAATCAAAGTAATTGTTTTTTCCACATTTGTTTTCACAGTGATGAAGACGAGTATCAAATGGCTTCTGGATCACAGCCATCAACATCTGCCTCATCCGAGCTACGACGTGCATCAGATCAGCATAAAGTTGCCCCAGAGCCATCAACATCCAAGCTACGCCGCCGGACGTCTGCACCAGTACTAACTCAGCCTCCCTCTGCATCTTCTGGTTCAGTGGACAGACTGTCAGGAGGAAAGTGAAACGGGCTGGTGTGTGGAAGACTAAGGTTGTTACCGTTCCTGACGCTGTGGTGGACTACAACAGAAGCATGGGCTGCGTGGATGTGTCCGATGCTTTGATTGGGTACTACAGCGTTCACCACAAAACCATGAAATGGTACAAGACCTTTTTTTTTTACCATTTTCTGGACATTGCAGTGGTGCAGCTAATACACACACGTGGATTACTCTGGGACAAACTTGGAGTAGAAAGGTAATCAGTTCCTTGCAGACTGCGTGTAGAAAAGAATCCATATGAAGACTGTCGAGTTGATAATCTTGAGACACTAACTACATACTAATTTGCTATAAACTGTCAACTGTTATTCACTCTCTGTGCCGCGACTTTGTCAGTCAAGCCACCACTCCGACGCACACTCTGTCTCTTCCCTTCACTTCCTGCCAACTTCAACCCTTGACTTTCAAAATAAAACACAATATTTATAATTATACCTTTTAGTCTTTTAAACATATGTATTACACTTTCCCTTTTTAAACCGTTGTGAAATATCTTTTAATCGTTATCTTTGCATGAACTAGATATTTTAACAACACTTATAACTAAATGTGGGGTATCTATATTACTTTGTAAGAGTAAACCCCAGCTCGGTTCAAATATACCAGAACCCAGTGAACAAAGATAACAGGACTCATGTTTCCAGTTTACTTGCTGCAAGGAGAATCAGCGAGTGACATGTCATGTCAACTCCTTAACCAACTCTCAGCTAGGAGAATCGGCCCTCAGCTAGGAGAACCAACTCTCAGCTAGGAGAACCAACTCTCAGTGCAGTCTTTTTATTTCAACAAACAGTAACATGAGACAATCATGTGGTCTTGACCAACGCCTTATTTGTTAGTGTGGATCTTGTGACTGTCAGTCATGTGAATCTGTGTGTGTGTGTATGTGTGCCATTTTAAACAGACTCTTCTTTGTTCCTCCATTAACACTCCTTGTAACACAGCAATGAGAATACATTATGAAAACACAGTTTATGAAAACACTTTTATCCTTCAATAAACTCTAACATTCCCTCCTGTTTTTCATAATTACTAGCTGGTTACAGTGTCTTTATAGTCATTAGCGTCAGACCCAGCAGGGTCACTACACACAACACCTTTCCCAACATAGTCTATTTGTGATAGTGGTTCTGTTGTTTTCTTCACCGGGGTTGAGACCAGTATTTCCTAATGAAACACCGCCCTTTGTAGCCGGACTTCCACCACTTATCTGTCGTTAAGTTGGAGAGGTATTATCTTTTTGCAGTGGCTCTGATGTATCCACGTAGTTCTTTCGGCGATTTTTAGTGCAGTCGGTGTTGTCAGCAGTACCGTGTAGGGACCGTCCCACCGTGGACAGTGCCAATGCTTCCTCTTAATCACCTTCACGAGGACCTGGTCACCAGTCTGCACTCGAGTATCCTGTAAGGGAGTAGAAATGTCTGGCAGGTTATTTGTTCGAGCTATCTCATTACTTCTGAAGAGTCTGCTCATCCATTCAGCTAATGTAGTCTCTGCCTCAGCATCATCCTCCTCTCTCACCTCGTCTGTGATTGGTAGTCTGAATTGCCTTCCTGTTATGATCTCAAAGGGAGACAACCCTTTTGCCGTGGGTGTGATTCTCATGCATGTTTCTACTTTCCTCTCTGTGGTCGCTCATTGCCTTGAGCCTTGTGTCTGCAACATACTACACAGGCTCTACAAAAGTTTTTAGAAAATGTAATATAGTTGTATGTATGGAAGTGTTCATTTATTATTGTCACCATCCCCTCCTGTTGAGACATGGCACGGCCCATGACTCAAATGAGCTGCTGTTTAATAGAGACTAACAGGGAGTACTATCTTGTTGTTTATTCTGAATACTTCAGAAAGGTCAATGTGATGTGTGTGGACGTCCTCTTCTTCCTTTTCTACGTCTAGTCAGTTGTCATAACTATGTAGGTTATGTGAAGAGGGGGGGCCATGTCTTTCGTCTTTGTACTGTCCCTTTTGTCCCCCTTCTTTGTTCTGTGGTCTCTGTTCCTCACAGTCTCTCGCCATGTGCCCCTCCTTTCCGCACCTGTAGCAGAGAAATTTGCCTTCTGCGTTTCTGCCTCCTCCTCTGCCTCTGCCTGTTCCTCTATCATTCCCTCGTCCTCTGTTAAACCCGCCTCTCCCCTGTACTGGTCCCACAAAGAACATCTGATTTTCTTCCCCATCTTCTCCTATGAAGAAAGTTGATGCTGACGCTTTCTTATGTATTTTTTTCTTTGATCTGGGTTGCTGCATGTTGTCCTTATATCTAGTAGATATATTTTTACTTCATGTTTTACTCACAAAACAATATAACATTCTTCAGACTAGTAGTTAACTTTATATAAGTTGTACTCTCTCTGAACTCTTCAAAACATCTACTTCTCCTGTCTCTCTCTCTCTGTGCCCTGCAGCTGCTCCTGCACAAGCTTCTCTCATCAATCACCTCTCTGTGTTTAGCCAACAGTGTGCTTTTAGCCTCGTGCAGCACCTCTGTCATGTTTAAACATGAACAGATCCCTCCTGTTTACTTACTCTTTCTTCATAAACACAATTAATGTCTACTAATGATATTACAAAAACGACCTAATGACAAATACCACAAAATTCACAATGCAATGCAATAGTAACAATCAGTTCTCAAAACTTCTCATGAAAACCACAATGTGACGTAACTGCATCCCACAAAAACTATGCTAAAAACGACAAATTATAGTTTCTTATTTATTTAAATATCTACGACACATTGATCTATTAATTTTCAATGTTATTCACTCCAACTTCAGACCAGTCGTTGATTATTCACTCCTTGTTTTAAATTCAACGCTCAGCAGCCATTTTTGAGGCATTTTGAGAAGAAGCACAAGCAGTCATACTGCTGCTTCAGCAATTAGAGGAAAGCTGTGAAGAAAAAAGGGGGGCTTTCTTTTTATTCTTTGTTCCTGCGCTTTGTGTTCTTCCACTATCGCTCTCTCTTTCTCGCGGCGTACAGCGTCAACTGACCCTGAACGCCCTGTCTCCTCGTCTGCTTTCACTGAAACAGCCGCTGCTATCATACCTTCTTCTGCTTCACCTGTCCTTTTATGGGCTTGTTCAGCCCATAAAGCTGCAACTCGCAGTTGAGCTTCTAACTTCTTTCTTTTCTTGCCTTGTGTTGTTCCAGCTGTTGCTGCTCTCAATTTGTCGCTTAATTCTCTTACTGCTGTTTTCTCCAACTTTCCTCGGAAGCCGTACAGTTTATACCATTTGCTACAATAACTGGTGCTGCCATGACTATATATTTCCATATATCTCATGTCCCCTGTAGCGGCAGGCTTACTCCCATTGGACCCCATGATTCTAGCTTGGTGTTCCTACTGGACAACGTGCCGGTCAGAACCTAATTCCTAATTCACCACTACGTGTACTTCAACAGACCACAGAGTTTTTGTTATCACCGTTAGGTTTCCACTCTGTGCGCTGATTCCACTTGGTGACACTTTTACACACTGCTTTCACTCAATCACTCATAAGTGTACCCAAAGGCACGTCGATCCTCCTCCTAGGCGGAGTAGCCTTTCTCTATCAACGTTTTATCAACCTCCTTAACGGCGGAGTAGCCTTTCTCTATCAACGTTTTATCAACCTCCTTAACGGCGGAGAAACCTTTCTCAACCTCCTTAAATGGCGGAGAAACCATGTATATCAACTTTTTATCTTACCCGTTATCTGTGGTCACTGGTCCGGTTGGATTCCGTCAATCGTGCCGAGGATGAGGGAGGTTGGACATATAAGCACCGGCCCGGCCACGAATTCTGCGTCCCGGGTCTTTCTCGGGGTCGGCTGATGATCCCGGCTGTCGACAGACTTGCGGCGTGTCTTTTCCCTCCTCCTTCCCGTCACGATGTGTTGGAATCCGGCTCCGAAGGACCAATTAATGTAGGGTATTTCTATATTACTTTGTAAGAGTAAACCCCAGCTCGGTTCAAATATACCAGAACCCAGTGAACAAAGATAACAGGACTCATGTTTCCAGTTTACTTGCTGCAAGGAGAATCAGCGAGTGACATGTCATGTCAACTCCTTAACCAACTCTCAGCTAGGAGAATCGGCCCTCAGCTAGGAGAACCAACTCTCAGCTAGGAGAACCAACTCTCAGTGCAGTCTTTTTATTTCAACAACCAGTAACATGAGACAATCATGTGGTCTTGACCAACGCCTTATTTGTTAGTGTGGATCTTGTGACTGTCAGTCATGTGAATCTGTGTGTGTGTGTATGTGTGCCATTTTAAACAGACTCTTCTTTGTTCCTCCATTAACACTCCTTGTAACACAGCAATGAGAATACATTATGAAAACACAGTTTATGAAAACACTTTTATCCTTCAATAAACTCTAACACTAAATGACATATTTATTATCTTGTTTTAATTTCACTGTAAGGGTTATTTTCAACCTGGTTACACACTCCCCCGTCTAAACGTCTGGTGTCCTCAACAGACCTAATGAACTAAACTATGTGAGTGTTTTTTTTTTACAGGCGTTCTCTAACTTTTTCCAATCTTTATTGTTACACCTCTGTGTACAATAGTAATAGGTTCATCTCTTGCTTTTCCTGGTTTATCATAGGTAAGTCTTACCGCTGGCTTCAATAATCTTTTTGGCCTAGTTTGCCTTGGAGTCACAACTATGTTTGGACGGCTTGACTGTTGTCTGTCATCTTCTTCACTTGAATCACTTGACTGCGGGCCTGAATCAGTCTCAGGGGCAGTATCCGGATCTTGGTCTTCCAGAGGAGAATTCTCTGTCTCTGGGCAGCTGTCTTTCTCAGGGATGCAGACTCCTGGCTGCTCTGCCCGGTCCGTATTGTTCTCTTCCTGTCTTTGAATGATCTTTTCCAGATATGTTCTGTATGGTCTGTGTGACCAGTCACACTCAAGATCAGACGACTCAGTTGACATGTCACCCTCTAATTGTATTGGGTGATCTGTTGTGGCTCTCTTATGTCTTTTATGACCATTTGCTCGAGTTGCTGGTCTGGTCGGCACATCTTCTGTGTTGTCAATAGCTGGAATCTTCACAAGGTCTCCAATCGGCAACAGATTGTCTCTGTGTAGTGTTTTCAGCTTCCCTTTCCCACTCTGAGGTTTCAGCTTATAGACAGGCAGGTTTGGCATCTTCTCTGCTACAACATAGGGAACCTCACACCAACGGTTTCCAAGCTTGTGTTTCCCTCTTAGTCCCAGATTCTTCAGCAACACTCTATCACCAGGCTCTAGGTTTTGAAACCCTAGTCTCTTGTCATAGGCTTTTTTGTTGCGCAGATGCCTTTTGTTAGAAACTTCTGTAGCCATCTGGTAAGCCTTTTGCAGTGCTTCTTTCAACTTAGTGACATAAGAAGAGTGCTGTTGTTCACCTTTTCCATCTGGGTGTGTCCCAAAGCATACATCCACTGGGAGTCGAGCTTCTCTCCCAAACATCAAGAAATATGGGGAGTATCCCGTGGCATCACATTTAGTGCCGTTTATATATACGGCGTTTATTCTCTTGATTCAGCGTGCCCAGCATTGACAACAGAGTACGATTGAATCGTTCTGGCTGGGGATCCCCCTGTGGGTGATATGGGGTTGTACGTGATTTTCGTATGCCCAACATCCTCAGCAGTTCTTTAATGAGTTTGGACTCAAAATCTCGTCCTTGATCCGAGTGGATCCGTGTAGGCAATCCATAATGCACAAAAGACTTTTCCACTAAGATCTTGGCAACGGTGTGGGCTTTTTGGTTCTTGGTAGGAAAGGCTTGAGCATATCTTGTGAAGTGGTCAGTAACAACCAACACATTACTAATTCCTGTTGAATCAGGTTCCATAGAGAGAAAGTCGATGCACACAAGCTCCATTGGCCCGGTGATGACTATTTGATGTAATGGGGCAACTCTTTGACATGGGCTTTTCCTCAACATGCACTCTCCACAGTTCCTGATATATTGCTCAACATCAGCAGCGATTTTTGGCCAGTAGAACCTACTTCTGAGAATATCAGTAGTCCTCTCTTGTCCTAAATGACCTAAGTCATCGTGCATGGACTTCAATACTACTGCCTTGAACTCAGCAGGTAGCACAAGCTGGTCAGTCTTCTCTCCTGTATGACTTCACGTACTCACACAGTGAAGAAGTCCATTTCTCATGACCAACTTTCCGACTTCTTTTTTTATTAGCATCATCTCTGGGTTAGACTGGATATCATCCGGCCATTTGCCACACTTCATGGCACTGATTGTAGTTCCTATCACATGATCTCGACCTTGAGCTGCCATCAACTCCTGCCGGGACATTTGTCCTAGTGTGTTAAGCTCTAGGCGAGTAGGAAAGGCATATATATAAAACAACATAGATTAGCTCCATGGCATAATGCTGAAACCCGCAAAATAAAGCAAAAGTCGAGACAACTTGAAAGGATATGGCATTCCACTAAACTTGAAGAATCTCGTTTAATTTGGCATATTACTCTCAATGAATATAAGAAAGCACTGCGTAAAGCGAGAGCAGCCTACTACTCTTCATTAATAGATGAGAATAAGAATAATGCAAGATTTCTTTTCAGCACTGAAGCCAGGCTGACAGAAAGCCACAGCTCGATTGAGCCTTCTATTCCCATAGCACTCAGTAGTAATGACTTTATGTGCTTTTTTAACGATAAAATTGTTACTCTTAGAAACAAAATTAATGACCTCTTGCCTTTGACCAGTATAGTGTTATCAACAGCTCCCGGAAACGTAAGTTCTAATATTACACTAGATAGTAAACTAGAATGCTTTTCAGCCATAAACCTTGAACAATTAAATTCAATGATTCTCTCTTCTAAACCATCAACGTGCATGTTAGACCCAATTCCAACTAAGCTGTTGAAGGAAGTTTTTCCATTAATTAGAACTTATTTATTAAATATTATGAATATGTCTTTATTATCAGGCTATGTTCCACAATCATTCAAAGTAGCAGTGATAAAACCGCTTCTTAAAAAGCACAACCTCGATCCAGAGGTTTTAGCCAATTATAGACCTATTTCCAATCTTCCGTTCCTCTCAAAAATTCTTGAGAAAGCGGTCGCAAAACAGTTGTGTGATTACTTAAAAAACAATGATTTATTTGAAGCTTTTCAGTCTGGCTTTAGAACACATCATAGCACAGAGACAGCTCTGGTTAAAGTCACAAATGACATTCTAATAGCCTCTGACAAGGGACGTGTCTCTATTCTTGTTTTGCTCGATCTCAGTGCTGCATTTGATACTATCGACCATGATATCTTATTGCAAAGACTAGAGCACTTAGTTGGCATACAGGGAACTGCTTTAGACGGGTTTAGGTCCTATCTATCTGAACGCTCTCAGTTTGTACGTGTCAATGATGAATCTTCCACGCAAACCAAAGTTAGCCATGGAGTGCCACAGGGCTCAGTGCTTGGACCTATTTTGTTCACATTATATATGCTTCCGTTAGGCAATATTATAAGGAATCATTCTGTAAACTTTCATTGTTATGCGGATGATACTCAACTATATTTATCAATCAAGCCTGATGAAATTAATCATCTAAATAAAATTCAAGTCTGCCTTAAGGACTTAAAAACGTGGATGACCTTAAACTTTTTGATGTTAAACACGACCAAAACTGAAGTTATTGTACTTGGCCCGAAGAATCTACGAAACAAATTATCTAAGGATATACTAACTATGGATGGCATTAATTTGGCCTCCAGGTAGACTGTAAGGAATCTTGGTGTTATATTTGATCAGGATTTATCCTTTAACGCCCACATAATATCAATTTCAAGGACCGCCTACTTCCATCTACATAATATTGCAAAAATCAGGCATATCTTGCCTCAAAACGATGCAGAGAAACTAGTCCATGCATTTGTTACTTCAAGGCTGGATTATTGTAACTCTTTATTATCAGGGTGTACCAAGAAGTCAGTCAAGTCGCTTCAGCTGATTCAAAATGCTGCGTCTCGTGTACTAACCAGAGTTAGGAAAAGGGACCACATTACTCCTGTTCTGGCTGCCTTATACTGGCTCCCTATAGAACACAGGATAGAATTTAAAATTCTTCTTCTCGCCTACAAAGCCCTTAATGGGCAGGCGCCATCTTACCTTAAAGAACTCATTATACCCTACTGTCCTACTAGGGCATTGCGTTCCAAGAATGCAGGGTTGTTGGTTGTTCCTAGAGTCTCTAAAAGTACAATGGGAGCCAGAGCCTTTTCTTATCAAGCTCCACATTTGTGGAATCAGCTTCCAGTTTGTGTTCGGGCGGCAGACACCCTATCCGTTTTTAAGAGTGCGCTTAAGACCTTCCTTTTTGATAAAGCTTATAGTTAGAGCTGATTAGATTCAGCCCCTAGTTTTGCTGATATAGGCTTAGTTTGTCGGGGGACATTTTACTTCTTCCTTCTCTCTGTCTATACCTGTGTACTCTCATGTTCCGATTAACCCAGCTTCCCCAAATTTCTTTCTTTTTGGTGTCTATATACGCCGGGATCCGGAGTCATGGATGATCCTGCGCTCCTCTGTTCTGGATCTTGAGTCGTGGCTGTGGTCCTGGATCATAGGTCCTGGATGGATATCCTCGTGGATTCATCTTCCTATTATACACACATGCATTTCCAAACTTTTGGAACTTATTATCTTTTCAATTTACACACGGCATCTATTGCACGTCTGTCCGTCCTGGGAGAGGGATCCCTCCTCTGTTGCTCTCCCTGAGGTTTCTCCCATTTTTCCCTTTAAACTGTGGTTTTTCTTCGGAAGTTTTTCCTTGTACGATGTGAGGGTCTAAGGACAGAGGGTGTCGTATTGTCATACTGATATTTTGTACAAACTGTAAAGTCCACTGAGACAAATGTAACATTTGTGATATTGGGCTATATAAATAAACATTGATTGATTGATTGATATATATCAGGTACACAGTGAGGTGGAGCTCCAAGCTGTTCCACGTACCTAGGAGAGTCTCCAGCGGAGCCCAGGATACCGATTCGCTGGCATATGGACTTAACTCCAGCTTGAGAGATGTTATGCCACTCAGTCTCTCCTTCTCTTGGTTCCATTCTTGATAACAGATCAGCGTCAATGTTGTTCCTGCCAGGTCTGTAGATAATGTCAAAATCATACACTGACAAATCCGACAGCCAACGATGTCCCGTAGCGTTGAGCTTCGCTGTGGTAAGCACATAAGTCAGCGGATTGTTGTCTGTACGTACAGTGAGACGGGCTCCATATAGATAGTCATGGAATTTTTTGACCACCGCCCACTTTAGAGACAGGAATTCTAACTGATGAATGGGATAGTTCTTTTCTGAAGGGCTCAGTTTTCGGCTAGCGAATGCAACTGGTCTCAGTCCTTCTGGATGTTCCTGATTAAGAACAGCGCCAAGTCTGGCTAGGCTGGCATCCACATGTAACACATATGGTTTGTTTGGGTCAGCAAAAGCCAGAACCGGGGTTGTCGTGAGGCAGAGTTTTATTTCCTCAAATGCTTCAGAGCATGAGTCATTCCACCTCGCTCCAAATGGATCCCGTTCATTCAGATAGACATCTTTTTGTCCTTTCTTTGGTTTTCTCCCATGCTGTGTGGGGGCATATCCCTTAGTGAGGTCAGTCAAGGGACGGACAATGGAAGAGTAATTGTGGATACATCGGCGATAATACCCACACAATCCTAAAAAGGATCGTAGGGTCTTCAAGTTGGTAGGCTTTGGCCAGGTGGTGACAGCCTCAATCTTCGCTGGGTCTACTGCTACACCCTCAGCTGAGACTATATGACCCACATACTTGACTCTCGTTTGACAGAATCGACATTTGTCAATGGAGATCTTGAGCCCTACTTCTTGGAGTCTGTCCAAAACCTTTAGGAGTCGTTCTTCATGTTCTTCCAGTGTCTTCCCAAACACAATCAGATCGTCCAGATACACCAGTACTTGGAGTAGGTTCATGTCTCCGACTGCCTTTTCCATTAGTCGTTGAAAAGTCGCAGGGGCTCCTGTGATGCCTTGTGGCATCCTCTCGAACTGGTAAAAGCCTAGAGGACAGATGAAAGCTGTTTTTTCCTTGTCCTCTGCCTTCATAGCTATTTGATAATAGCCATTCCTTAAAACCAAGACAGAAAACCACTGACTACCGGATAGGCTGTCCAGAGCCTCATCGATGTGTGGTGTAGTGTATTGGTCAGGCACAGTACGGCTGTTTTATTACATTACATTACATTGCATTTAGCTGACGCTTTTGTCCAAAGCGACTTACAATAAGTACATTCGACCAGGAAGACACAACCTTGAAGAAAACAGAATCATATAAGTATATCAGGTTTCATAGAGCCAAACATTTCAAGTGCTACTCAACTGGCTTTAGGTAATCCAGTCCTTTATTGGTATAAAAGTGCTGTTGAGAGTACGGTAGTCGATGCACATCCTTACAATCACTATAGGTGACGCATATGGACTTTTAGACTCTTTGATTATGCCTGCTGCCAACAACTTCTGGATATGACGGCGCACATCGTCAATATCAGCTGGAGCGATGCACCTGGAAGGTTCACGAAATGGTCGTGGATCTGACAGACGAATAGTGTACTCCACTTCCTTGGCGAGTCCCACATCCAGTTCATCCAGAGAGAAGACTTGCTCTCTTAGACAACTTCTGACGTAGCCTTGTTTTCCATTCTTCCGGAATAGGTGACTCTCCAAAGTCGATGGAACTGGCATTACAATCTTCACTCACTGGCTGGCTGTTGTTTTGATGCTGTTATAACAACATCAGTAACACAGAGATGACCTAACACAGTGCCAACTGGTATAGTTGCATCTTTCAGCGACTCGTTCTGGACTAGGACTATGAACTGATTAACATCCACAGCAATACTTGGTATCACCATGGGCTGCAACAATACACCTGCTGGCAGAGGGTTTGTGAGAGAGGCTTCGACCATCAATATTTCATTGGGTAAGGGCTGCTTTATCTCGACCTTGCAGATGACTTTACCACTGCTTCCTGCAGGTAATGTCAGGGGTCCAGGGCCTTCCCACTTCACACATCCGACTTCATCATCCTCTTCTCCTTTCAGCTCTGTAGTCCTCATCTCTTTCTCTTTCTCATTGCAAGTGTTGCGTATCCCGAAAGTGTGGGCCACAAACACTCCAGTTGTATCTTCACACAGCTGAGCTAACTGCTTAGCAAGGCTTGCTTTGGTGTTGGTCCCTATGAGCACAGGTGTTTGATCTGGATCTGGTGGGTCAGGACAAATTAATGCCAGGGCGGACATAGCAGTTGGCGTTCCTGCCACTTTCTTCGGAAACTCTAGGTCTACCACTACGTAGCCAAGGTACGGATAACTAGAGTCACCCAAGCCCCAGATGTCAAGTTTCTTCACTGGGTGAATCTGAGTGTCTGACAGATATC